TTCCAGGAAAAGATGGAGAGCAGGAGGAGGAAAAGATGAATCATATATGGGAAAAGCAGCCGTTACTGACGACAGCTGCACCGCTGGATCACCTCTCAGTGGGCTCGACTCTTCTATATCAGTCTTTTTTTTTTACACACAGAAAGTGATGTGCTGTCCAGCGACTCCACACACTTACCACTACTGCATTTAACAAGTCCAACTAAGCAACCACAGCAACCCATTTAAGGGTTCCTGAACTACTTCCAATTTAAAATACACTATAACACTGCAGCTTCAGTCTCCTATGAATAATTTTCAAGTTTTTTAGTTTGCTTAGAAAAAGAAGTGCGACCAAACGCTGCAGTTCCTCTAATGCCCACTTGAGGCTCTCTATAAAAGTGACCCACTCCTCTTAGACCTGTTCTAATCCCTGAACAGGACCTCTTGAACATTTCTGTGTTGGTGACTAATCTTCTGTCTCAGTGGTGTGAGCAATGTAACAACACCAGGGTCAACAAATGGCGCAAAAATCACAAAAAAAAAAAGTCACACGTGATGGAGGGAATTTACCATGAACTCTTGGCAGCTGCAATTCGCTGAGATGCGACATCAACAGCATTACAGCAATAATAATATAAAGGAACAAATCCAAGAATTTTGTATTTAAGGTAAATTATTTTATTAGTCTGTTAGCATTTATCATACCTCTGTGTTGCATGATTTATGGGTTCAGTCACTAGTTTCAGGTCGAGTTAATTTTGCAAATTATGGTCAGAAGGGAAGATTACCCAGAGTATTTTCATTGGCTAACAACCTGTCAATCACAAGTCGCTGGCCAATGAGCATGCAATGGCCTCAGTTTCTCAGTCAGACCCACACTACGCTTGTCACGCTCAAGATGGTGACAGTGAACGTGCCCCGCTTGTTTATTCTGCTGTTAGCTCACCACTTCACCCTCTCGTCCATATTGAATTACTTTTGGCTCCAAAAAGACAAAATGGCAGCAGATAAACTACAGCCCAAAAACAATTGGTGACATTATCATCATCTTATCTACCGCCTTAAAAAGTTATAAAGACTAAATATTCCTATTTTTTGATTCCTGAGTTTCTGTTTTCCAAACTGTCTGAAAAGGTCTTTTGTGATTTGTACCATTGCTGAAGATTAAAGGCTTAAACGCTGGACTCACTTTTTCCACCCTGCCCATTTTAGCAGTTCATTTTCAACGCTTATTTAGGAATGAGGTCATCAGCAAACTGCACTGAATGCAAATCACTCTTCTGCTCGTGTTTGGCTCCCCAGCTTCAAATGCAGACAGACCTTGTATGTGAACTGGGTCCAGCTTGAAATCATTGCTCCTACATAATTAATATTCTAGATATACACTCCCACTGATGTGGGCCAACCCTTGCCACTAAGCACTCCCTCAATCAGGCAGATCGCGGGCTTACCGATGGCAGTCTCTGGCATCGCGAACAGCGTCTTCTCAGTGGCCACTCGAAACCGTCCGTGAACTGAGAGACCCACGCCCTACAGGTATAAGAGAACACGTTTTAAAATAATTAGAGCAGTGGTTCTTAACCTTGTTGGAGGTACCGAACCCCACCAGCTTCATATGCGCATTCACTGAACCCCTCTTTAGTGAAAAATAAAATGTGATTTTTTTTTTCAAATTCAAGACATAGATATGTTTTTTACTGGTGCACAAAATGAGCCATGCATGTCATGGCGGAGGCTCTGCCGAACCCCTGAGACCGACTCACCGAACCCCTAGGGTTCGATCGAACCCAGGTTAAGAACCACTGAATTAGAGAAATAAAATAAAAGTCGTATGATAGAATAGAGTAAAATTTAAAAAAAAAAAAAAGGAGGGATCAGTGTCATTAATGGCCGTCACCTCTACAGAGAGCTGGAGACTCATATGAAAATTGGCTGAAAAAAGTAAACCAGGCTAACCTGTCAAGAAAGTGTGTGTGTGTGTGTGTGTGTGTGTTTTTAACTCATGCAGCTCCCAACAGGGAGAGAGGTGAAGGCTAATGAGCAGTGTTGGCCAGAGGACATTTCCAGCACAGTAAGGTGTGTGTGTGTGTGTGTTATTATAAGGTTGCCTTGGAAACAACATCCCCTTGCATACCTGAATGCATATGACCACGCAGATAGACAGGAAAATTACACTACCTGATTGTTCATTATAACTGAAGCACCTGTCAATGGGAAGCTTTTATTTTGAAGGTCAAATATATATCTGCAATAACAGTGTTAGAAGTTTAAAGAAAACATTGCTCAATCCAAAAAAAACAAAAAAAAAACAAACTACACATAAAAATGTTTATTGTGTAAAAGCTGCTGGTGTATCTCAGTTCATCCACATGCTGAGTGTCTGTTGGTGGCGGGTTATGGCGTTTGCTGTTGTAACGTTCAGGCTTCAACACTCTCGCCTCTCACTCACTTTGTGAATTTGACATGTGTGTAATTAGACAAAGGAAGGAGTAAATGGCTCTTACAGGGGTGGATTTTACCCCAAACTACAATGTTTTCTCAACTCTAACCAGGTAGTTTTTATTACCTGAGCTTGATCATCAACTGATCAATTAAAAAAGCAACATCAAGTGCAAAACACAAAAGAGTCCAGTCTGCTGTGTTCTGTTTAAAATCGGATATCAGAAATCCTGAGGTCTCAGTCCGAATTTACAACTGGATCACTTCTTGAAATCTGACATTCTACTCAAAAAGTTGGAGAAGCCAAACCAACGCTGACTTTGTTGATGAATTGTTGAATGGCTCTAGCTTGGCACGGAGAAAGCTTTACTGGAACATGTTCAAGTTGGGTGTGATGTCACTCCCAGCTCTGACATCCAAAGTTAAAAAGATTACGGCATAATGCGGACTTTGTCAGGATCGTCACCTCTTGGCGGCCAGTACTTCCACAGTAGCTCTGTCAAAGTGCCAACGCCAAAAATGACACGACGGATGTGAGAATGTGTCAATCCACAACATACAAAACTGTAATTTATGTGGACAGCAACAATAAAAACAAGATATAAAAACACTGGCTCCATTATCACGATGGAAACCTTGAGCAGTGGACTCCCCAAATTAAAAGACCCCCATTGATAAATTCAGGGATCTGGCTTAATGAGTTTGGGTTTGAATGTGTAGCAGACTCTGTGTACACAGTTCTTCTGCTCTCATTACACCAGTGTATTAATACAACCCACAATCCTGACTTTATGAATGTGGGCTTTATGATTACACTCGTGGCTTTTCATCAAATAAAAATAGTTTAAATCTGTGTGACATTTAACCGATGCCAACATCCTGTGATGTGTCGGGGAGTCGATATAACGCAGACCAACATTCGTTGTTAACTAACCACCAGTAATTATTAATTAAACCACAGAACTGGTGTCGCAATACAGCCTAATAAGGGCCAACCTTTTTTTCAGTGTCTGAAGATTCTTTATATAAAGGATCATGTTTGAATAACAGATATAGATTTAATCTCACATAATTCAC